TGCCTCGGCTGGTACCCGCCCTACGCCAACGTGCCGCCCGAGGCCTACGCCCCGCCGCGGGCCGTGGAGCCGCAGCCCCCCTTCCGCGTGCTCGATCCGCCCTACCTGCCGGTGCGCAGCTCCGACGCGCCCCCGCCGGGTGGGGAGCGCAACGGCGCGCAGCAGGGCCGCCTCAGTGTGGGCAGCGTGTACCGGCCCAACCAGAACGGTCGCGGTGAGTACCGCCCCGGGGCCCGGGACCCCCCTACCTGTCCTCCTAGTCACTGGGGAACTGCTCCAGACGCCCCGACCCCTCCCCCATCCTTTACTACTAAGGCATCCCCTGAGCGGCTAAGCAAGGACCCCACCCCAGCCAGCAGCCCCGCTGCGTCTCACCCCCCAGCCTTCCCCACATCCGCGCATCATCAATGCTACGGGTTGCCCAGGCAGGTCTAGGCTCTCACCCTGACTTTAGGGGAAGGGGGTAGAGGGACTAGCCGGGCTTTGAGAGGAGGCACCTTCCAGACCTGGCTTGGGTCATCTGGCGACAAACAGAAGGAACCCTTTTCCCTGCCTCCCCCCCATTCCAATCAGGGCACCTCCTCGCACCCTTGGAGATGCCCCCGTGTCAGCTCACAGGGTGAGGCGGGGAGCATCGGAAACCTGGGTCTTCACCTGGAGGTGTGGCAAATTCCCTGTCACTGGGCGTAAGTGAGCTTGGCCGGAATGAGCAGGTCAGAGTGAGCCTTTGCCCCAGGCATGGGTCCAGACTACATGACCAGGCTGGGACAAGAGAGGTCAGTGAGGCAGTGGCCTGGGTGCAAAATTTAAGGGGGCACCAAAAAAACGCGGTAATCAAGATAAGTGATATTTCACTGCATTTTAAAAAAATCAAAAACAATGCAGGAAAATCCGTGATGAACAAAATATCCAAATTTTAAATAGAAATCAGTAAGGGTGGCATGTCGAGCCACATTGAAGCCTGAGGCAAACTGAAAAATCAGTAATACGGATCCTGAGTTTATTTGAAAACCAATAAAGGCCTCATTCCCCTCACCCTAGCCCTAGTGCTGGGGGAGAGTCTCAGGAGGTGGCTGTGGAAGGGCCCCCCTCTCACTTCTGGGGGGAGGGGTGTGTGAAGATATGCCCTAGTGTGGAGAAGTCCCAAGCCGTCTGCACATGAGGATGCGGTGGAGGGGGTAGCCTTCCTGTTTCAGATGGACAGGCTCTTCATGTGCCATTAGCAGGCTGGCTACTGTGGCAAGAGCAAAGGTACTGCCAGGGCTGGATGGCCAATCGGCCCATCCTCCACTGTCCTAGAATCCCCCTTCCTGCTTCTCTTCCTGTGGGGCAGTCCGCTTTTTGTTCAGGGCTTTCCACTCATTCCCCAGTGCATGGGCGGTCCACCACTGCTCCACCACCCTTTCAGGCTGTAGTCAGTGCCCTCTACCTGTGATTCTCAGCTCCCACCGAGGTTGCTGTACCAGGCCCACCAGGGGAGAGCTGAGCCCTGTGAGGTGCAGGTACCGCAGCCCCAGCCTCTGCTCCTCTGCCTCTGTCAGCGTGGGGATGATGCCTTGTCTCCAGCCAAGCTGGCCTCAGGTGAGGGGCTGCTGCTGGGGGTTTCCTGTCTCACGGGCGACTGCTGGGGCCCAAGGCTAGGGGAGAGGAGTGTCTCCACTGCTAGCAGCCACTCCCTCACATTCAAGGTGTGGCATTTCAGTTAGGTGCTGAATCCCACTTTGAGAACCTGCAGGAGTTCAGGACGAATCAGATGCTAGGTGCTTCTGTGATAGGGTGAAGGATACAGCCACCCGCATCTGGTCCTCACTGGGAACTTGCAGCTTCTCTGCAGCAGGGTGTATTACAGCTGTCTGTCAACTGCTCCCAGAGCCCCTTGGAGAAGAGGTTGTTTTACTTATAAGGTGCTAAACTTTTGTGGTAGCTTTTCTTAGAATGCAAGACCTCAGCAGGAGGCTTAGCCAGAAGGCCCCACCTCTGGGCAGAGGAGAAAACTGAGACCTCAAATGCCACAACGCTGGCAGAGCCAGGCCTGGGACTTGGTGTCTGGGCTCCAAGCCAGTGGGTTTTCTAGGGCCCCTCTTTGGCTTGTCAGTTCTTAAGGAAGCCAGTTGGTTCCAGGGGGAACAGGGCAGGGCAAGGCTATATCTGGAGTAGGGGTGCTTGGTGCTTAGCAGAGCCTCTGGCCATTGCCCCTGAGCCCCACAGTTCATTTAAGGTCCTAGGTGCCAAGCTGAGTGTGTGGATATGCGTCAAATCCAGGCCCTGCCCTGGGGAAGCATAGCAGAGGGAGCTGTGAGTAGGCAAACATGGGAAGGGGGGCAGAGGCTATGGGAGCCCAGAGGAGGTGTCCAAGCATTGCTGCAAGGGGTGGCGGTCAGCACCCTTGGGCTCTCCCTCCCCTAATCATGGAGGGAATCAGGTATGTGGGGGGTGCCGGCTAATTTGGGTCTCATGAAGAGGCCAGAGAGGGAGCAGTAGTCTCCCCCATCACTGGTCCCTCCCTCCCCACCCTGCTAGGCTGGGACGGTGGAAAATCCCAGCCCAGGGAAGGCCAAGCCTTGTACTTGAGATCAGACCCCCAGGCCTGGTGTGGGAGCCCAGGGCGGATTCTCTGAGACTGACTTCATTCCTCCTGGCCACACACCCAGGGGTCTGAAGCCGGGCGCTGGCAGCCTGCATGCATGTGTGGGCGTGGATGTGTCCTCACAACACCAAACACATGTGAGCACCGCCCCCGTCCCTCCATGTGTGGGTGGCTTCCAAGTGCCTGACCTGAGCTTGGTTCTTCCTCGAGCTCCTGCACCCGCTTCCTTTCCACCCTGGACACTGGGGCTGCCCAAGGCTTCCTCTAATACCATTGTCCCCACCTTTGAAACGTATAACTACAAAGACAGAGGGGAGGAAACAGAGGCCCGGAGAGGGTCACATCCTTCGCCCGGCTCTCAAAGCAAATCCTCGAAGAGAGTCCTAGAGGTGGCCAGCTGCTTCTCAGGCCAGATTGTGTCCCCTGTGCTGCACCAGTTCCAGTGTGACTTCTCCCTCTACTGCCACCAGGCCCTCCTCTCCTAGCATCCTTGTTCTAGCTCCTGCCTTCCTATAGCCTCAGCTTCTCTGAGCTGGGGGTCTTAGTGCTGATTAAGATGACCCCCAGCCCCAGAAGACCAAAGCTCTTCTCCCGGGGACTCCCCTTTCCACCCCTGGCCTGACTCGCTGGCTCTGGCAACCCTGTGAAAGGAACATGGAGCAGGCTGCCCTGGCCGTCCTCCCAGGGCATCTCTGATAGCTGTGCCAGCCTTGCCTGGCATGTGTCCTCCATCCCTATCCTCACACGGCAAATCAGAGGCCAGAAGGGAGCTGCAGCTGCCTTCTCCCTGGTCCCCTGTGCCCAGGCTCTCCCTTTCCAGTCCATTCTATGTGTGGGGCAGAGAAACCCTTGCAGTGCTAACCAGGTTACTCCCCTGCTCAAGAAGATTCTGTGGCTCCCCAGGGCCTTCAAGACAAAATGCCTCAGCCTAGTACTCCAGAACCTGAGACTCCTCCTTCCTCTCCTTTCCTCCTCCTCCCTCTCTCGGGCTTCCACAGCTGCCCCGGGTACTGTGCTGCTCCTGGGCCTAGATGTTATATCTCCCTACACCCACCAAGGCTGTTTTAGGGTACTGAATCTCTGTCCAACCTGCACCCTAGAGGCCAGACTGGGACCCTCAGTTCCTAAGAGCAGTCTCCGCTCCCTGTCCCCATCCTCACTGCTCGGGTGGGCCCCTAGCTCGCCTGAGCCTGCTCCCCCTTGCTGCCAGGCTGTCTGCCCCTCCAGGTTGCCTACCCTCCTCCACAGGGCATTGAGTAGATGCAGGGAAGGACCAAAGCAGGCCTCCACCCAACAAGCTTGTGGAGTTAGAGCCCTAAGGCAGGGATAAAATAAGGCCATTTGCTGAGGAGCACCTACTGAGTTTAGTGGCTTCCGTGTGCAGTTTCATTCATTCTCACAGGCTCCTAGTGAGGTGGGGATTGTGGGCTGGAGGCCCACATATGAGAAGACTGAGGCCCAGGGAGGTGGCACAGCAGGGAGTGGCTGAGCCAGCACCCACACTGTGCCTGTGACCCAGGAGGACCCCATGCTCAACCCTCGAGCCAGGAAGGCGAGGCGCCAGTGGGGGGCCCCCACCAACTCTGCCTCTCTGGACCTCAGCTGCCGCATCTGCATCCAGGGGACAGAATTACGCTTGCATTTACTGAGCACTTCACACATATCTCTTCTACTTACCAGGCCCAAGCCAGGTGCGGTTGTTAGTCCCACTTTATAGATAAAGCGACAGGCTCACTTGTTGGCTTCCAGTTGTGAAACCAGGATTGGAGTCTATGGCTCCCTACCCTGAGCTCCTAACAACCATTTGTTATTTTTAAAAAAATTTTTTGTGTTATTAATTATCCTGCACACACCACATATCCAGTCATTCATTTGGTCATTCATTCATTCAGCAGATACTTGACTGTCTACTATGTTCCAGGTACCGGTTGTGACAGGTTGAGCTGGGACAGTGGATGTCAGAGACTTTGGGAGGGAAGAGACCCTCCCCTGTGTGGTGTTAGAGTAAAGCCTTAACATTCTCACTCTGGACTCCAGAACGTTTATTTAACAGCACTTACATAGTGTTTACTACGTGCCTGACCTTGTTAGTCACTTAACGCTTATAACCCTAAGAAGGATGTACCATTATTAACCCCATTTACAGATGAAGAAACTGAGGCCCTGAAGTGTTAAGTGACTTACCCTGGAGCCAGAATCACAGCTCAGCATCCCTCTTCCTTCGCTGCAGTTGTCTCAGATTGCTCCTTCAGAAAGAAGTTGTCTTCAGGCTGAGAAAGTTGTCATAGGGGCAGAGAGCTGGGGAAACAGAGGCACCTGTGTCCTCTTCCTGTCTCCTATTTGGCATTTGAGAGTCATTATCCCAAGCAGGCTTACCCCAGGAGGACTTCCTGTCTCCTCTCTTGTCATCCACTTGCAAGATGCCTCTTCTGTCTCCTTGTCTTCAGGCTGAGAAAGTTGTCATAGGGGCAGAGAGCTGGGGAAACAGAGGCACCTGTGTCCTCTTCCTGTCTCCCATTTGGCATTTGAGAGTCATTATCCCAAGCAGGCTTATCCCAGGAGGACTTCCTGTCTCCTCTCTTGTCATCCACTTGCAAGATGCCTCTTCTGTCTCCTGGTCTCAAACG